GCTGGAGCGTGTCCAGAGAAGGGCAGCGGAGCTGGGGAGGGGTCTGGAGCCCCAGGCTGCTGGGGAGCGGCTGGGGGAGCTGGAGGGGTTCAGCCTGGAGCAGAGGAGGCTGAGGGGAGCCCTCATCGCTGCCTACAACTGCCTGAGAGGGGGGGGGAGCCGGGGGGGTCGGGCTCTGCTCCCAGGGAAGGGGCGATGGGACGAGGGGCACCGGCCTCAAGTTGTGCCAGGGCAGGGTGAGGTTGGACATTAGGAAAAATTTCTTCACAGAAAGGGTTGTCAGGTTGAATGGGCTGCCCAGGGAGGTGGTCAAGTCCCCATCCCTGGAGGGATTTAAAAGAAGGGTAATTGAGGTGCATAGGGACAGGGTTTAGTGGTGGGATGGCAGTGTTAGGTTAACGGTTGGACTTGATGATCTTACAGGTCTTTTACAACCTAGACGATTCTATGATTCTAACCGTGAATGAGCGGCAAAACCCCCACATTGTGACCGGCCCAGATGCTCCATGCATCCCTGGCATAGACTACCTCAGGAGAGAGCATTTCAAGGACTCAAAAGGGTACTGGTGGTCTTTTGGTAGAGCTGCCCTGGAGGCAGAGGAAATTAAGCAGATGTCTACCTTGCGCCATCTCTCCAAAGACCCTTCTGGTGTGGGGTTGTTGAGGGTCGAAGAACAATGGGTGCTGATTGTCACCACAACAGTGCATGGGTGGCAATATCACATCAACCAAGACTCTCTGATTCCCATCCACAAGCTGATTTGTGGACTGGAGAGCCAAGGAGTGATCAGGAGGAGTCGCTCACCCTTTTGACAGTCCCACATGGCCAGTGAGAAAGTCTCATGGAGAGTGGAGACCAACAGTAGACTATCATGGCCTGAATGAAGTCATGCTGCCGCTGAGCGCTGCTGTGCCGGACATGTTAGAACTTCAGTACAAACTGGAGTCCAAGGCGGCCAAGGGGTTGCCACAATTGATGTCATGAATGCGTTTTTCTCAAACCCTCAAACCCCTCAATCTCCCCCCAACTCCCAGTGGAGTGCCAGCCACAGTTTGGTTTCACTTGGAGGGGTGTCCAGTACACCTGGAATCAACTGCCCCAGGGGTGGAAACCCAGCCCTACTGTTCACCATGGACTGCTCCAGACTGCACTGGAACAGTGTAAGGCTCCGGAACACCTACAGTACATCGATGACATCATCGTGTGGGGCAACACAGCGGAAGAGGTTTTCAAGAAAAGGAAGAAAATAGTCCAAGCCCTTCTGAAGGCCGGTTTTTCCATACAACAAAGTAAGGTCAAGGGACCTGCCCAGGAGATCCAGTTTTTAGGAATAAAATGGCAAGATGAACGTCATCAGATTCCAATGGATGTGATCAACAAAATAACAGCCATGTTCCTGCCAACCAGCAGAAAGGAAACCCAAGCTTTCTTGGGCGTTGTGCGTTTTTGGAGGATGCGTATTCCAAATTACAGCCTGATCATAAGCCCTCCCTGTCAAGTGATGCAAAAGAAGAATGATTTCATGTGGGGCCCTGAACAACCTGGCCTTTGGACAGGTTAAACAGGAGATAGTGCATGGGCCGGTCCGGGCAGGGCAAGATGTAAAAAGTGTGCTCTACACCGCAGCCGGGGAGAACGGCCCTACCTGGAGCCTCTGGCAGAAAGCACCAGGGGAGACTCGAGGCCGACCCCTAGGGTTTTGGAGTCGGGGATAC